ATTAGCAGTGTTTGAATAACTTCTGAGGAGCTCTGCCCAGTAACTTGTAGTCACTGTGGCATCATCAGAGCAGTTCTCAATGGGAATGGGAGTCTGTTTTTCCTGGTAATGTTATGTCCCAGCACCTGGATGCATTACCATCCCCGTGTGCTGCCAGAGCTGTCCCAGGGAAAGGAGAAACCCAGAGCCTGTTGTCTCCTCTCCCCTCGGCCGCCACAGAAGGTGCTGCCTATTCTTTCTCCAAGCACGTCTGGTTACACACACCCTGCACTCGTGGGATTGTGGAGCAACTTTCTGTGAAATAACTGTTGTTTCTGGCTTCTGATTTTCACTGTATGTGTGAATTCCGTGGTGCTCAGGAAGTGGTGGTAACCCGGGACCGCAATCACAGCGCTGTTCTGTGTTTAGCCCTGTGTCTGTGCACTTCTGCAAACCCTCAGCTGCTTGGGCTGCGGAGCTTAACGCACATCCCAAAGGGTCTCCTTGCTTCATTTGATGCAAAAAAAGTGGGTTTTACAGGTGGCTAAACATGTTCTGTAAGTGCCATCCTGTCACCTAATGCTATCAGGCACTAGTCAGATCTGATTCTGATTCTGCTCTGCTTTTCAGTATATATTCATTAATTCAAAGCCTTTTCCTACCTACTTGTTGAAAGAGTCTAGTGGGGACTGGATGCAGACTTGGACATTACTGTGAACTGCTCAGATTCCTGTCTATCAGCTGGCAAGCCCATCCTCCCTACAGGCACAACTCAGATGTAGAGGAATCTCCCATGTAACAAGTAAGGCTGTCTCACAGAAGTGAGAATAACAGTTCAGGAAAAACATGTAGTCTTCTGTCATCAGCATAATCAAATCTATCACTCAGAGGTGTCCTTCTTTCCTATGTCCCAACTGTGAAGCTTTTTTGCTGGAGTTGGCCTGTATTTTTGCCATGACCAACAAACTATTAAGAAAAATCTGTATATATCTGTCTTTGCACTCTCACTCTGGGTTGTTGCTTGATAAATCATAGTTTGCACTTTGTCTGAGAGACAACAGTCCATTTGCTTTATTTTTAAGGTCAAACTGCTCTGAAAAATGTCTGTCTTTGGGCTGTGCTACGTTATGGTTTCTCGTCCATCTGATACCAGCTCGCACCCTGCCCCACAGTCAGTTTAAAAATCATATTTCTAGCCATAAAATAGTGAGTTCACTTTTAGCAGTTGCAATTAGTGGTTTGTGGGTGGTTTCAGCCAACATGGGCCAAAAGAAAGACATGGAACTTTTTTTCCCCTGCAGATTACAGTGAAAGATCCCTTCCCCGAGCACACAGAAAGGCAGGATGCCCATAGATACACTCTGGCCATTTGTGAGGGGAAGATTTCTGTGTTTCCCACCTCCCTGCCTTGTCCTTCAGTTAAAGGTTGGGCCTTCCCCATCACACCATCAGGAGGAGGGTGCATTAGCAAGCTCTTCAGGTGCTGCTGCTCTCACCTTGGCGTGAGGTGAATCCCAGATGAAAGGCAGTCCAAGTTCAGGTGCTGACCTGTGAACTCTGGCAGCGAGCACTGATCACAGTTCCCTTCTGGATCCCCACAGGATCCACCTCTTGCCTGAACCCATATCTTGGAGAAAGACCTCGTCCTTCCCACGAGGCTGGTGCCTCCCTCCATTCCTTCTCCTGTTCTCTCCTGGTAGCTCAGAGCAGTGGCGTGTCAGCATCTTCAAACCTGGGGCAGTGGGTGATTCCTCGTCCCTTGAAAGGTGTCTCCAGACTCCTCCTCACCCATTTCTGCCCTCTGCTCTTCCCACCATGGCAGAAGAGAGACAAGACCAGTACCTTCCAGTACCTGAAGGGAACTTATGGGAAAGATGGGGCAGGACTATTTACAGGAGCA